TTAAAGAATATTGCAAGATTCGTGCACTGCTAAAGTAAGACTAGAGTTTCTTCACGATTACTGTACGTGAATTGAATTCGTGAATTGGATTTCTGCAAATATCTCAGAATCCTCAGAAAAGGTACCAGGCGCATAGCGTGGACGTTTTGGCCAGTACGCACATGTCAGGGACCGCGACACATCATGTGTAGTTTTGGATCTGGGGGTCTGACGACCGCCAAAGGTGGGAGTATTAAGGGAGCCTGGACCTCCCCCAGGAAATTTTGAAATATAACTCTTGGAAATGCGATTTCCAGCGTCTTGAGGGACATCGAGGGATCAACTTTATGTGAATTTTTCAGTGATTTTTGTGAAAATTTTAATATTTCCTTGCCACTAGTACGCACGTGCGTATATGCGTAATATAAAGGGCGCTACGCGCCTGGATACCATGCAACCAAATAAAATAAGCACTTCTCCAAGAACGTAATTCTTTAGTTTTATCCTTGCAAGACCTCTTTTATATGTCTTTTCTAATGCCTAACATCTAGTTCCATCTGACCAAAAACGGTCCAATTTGGACACCATTAAGTATTAAGCCTGCCGCACACATGATAGCAGAGTGCATACCATTTTTGCTGTCAATATATGGTGAGCAAAACACTGATGAAAGTGACTTGCACGGCATTTAACTCACGCACTTTCCTACTGGAGTGCGGTGGGCTTTATTTAACAAATAAATAAGGCTCAGCCGTGGTTTATACTCTCATGATATAAACCACACTTTTTTGGCCAATCAGAGCGCGCGTTAGATCAAATCATCTACATAATAAAGTGCTATAATCACCTTATCACCAACAAAAAATCCTTTTCCTTCTTTTAACACATTGGTTGTGTTCGTTATGTACTTAGGAATATGAGTGGATTGTAGTTCTTCCAAAAACTTTTTCTGTAAACAAAAAACAAAAAAACAAAAACAATTTATAGTAATAGATCAAACGAGTGCGAGTGTTTCATCAAGGGATCCAAATACCGAGGAACAGATGAAGTTGAGAATTTCAAAGGGACATGGTCCACTAGCATCCCTTTCGAGCTTTTGCTTATGTTTGAAAATAGAAATACATCGTAATATAAGCAAAAACTTACTCTTTATTATTCCTTTATCCTATATGAATGAAGATGCTTTAAGACCGTTAAACCGATGGATGGAAACGGATTGCAAATTGATATTTTAAGTCACCTCATTTTCCATGATATGAAAAATCTAAAACACRACCGCATTGCATGCTAGTGGACCATGTCCCTTTAAGTGCACAACTGCACCATAATTACAGTGCAACTCGAAAACCCGTCGCCCCCTAGAAATATTTCGGGAATGTGTACTTGAAAAGTGACTTTAGCTGACAAACAAGAAAACACGGATGAAAAAACATATAAAAGGACAAAGTTTGTGTTTATTCTAAACAACAAAATTGTACTATTTGTGAGCTTTTACAGGTTGTTGTTTTTTTTGGTAATAAACTAGTTTTATTTATTTTCAACGTTGAAGTTTTGATTAAATTTGGACATGAAAATGCACTTTATGACGGTTAATCTCGCTTCTGATTGGTCCATGAACAATAAACATCCCTGAAATATTTCTAGGCGGCCAAGGTTCTTCGAGTCGCACTGTATTTTCATTGMCATCCTTCATCAGTACTGCTTTAAAACTATTGATACTCCTGAATACATTGAACATTGAAGWTCGCAAAATTAATGTGTTTGTAGAGTCGGATGAATGGTATTTTAAAATTATAAGCATGTGATATGTTCTCTTTTTCAGCAGAGATRATCTATTGTAATCAAACACTCTGTGTGCAAAGACATGGGCGGATCCAGGGGAGTTGCTTTGGGTGCCCCCCCCCCCCTTATTTGGACGACGTAATGTTTTACGTTTTTTTTAAACGTTTTTTCCTTCTGTTTATGCTCCTGCTGTAATTTTATGGAGACTGAAAACCAGTAGCATACACAACATGTGTTTGCCACTACATTACTTAACAATCTATTTGAATAGTGTAGTCAAAAAAGATCCGTTACAATAAAAGTCAATTTGATTCCGGTTATGTTGTGCATAATTTTCTTGCTCTACACAATACGCAATGCTATAGTTTTTAGCTATATATATTACTGACAAAAGCAACCACCCTTATAAAATGCTGGATCCGCCCCTGAAAGAAGKCAATAAAGAATGATGCTTGATCGAAGCTTAATAAGCTGGCACAAAAGACAATTATTCAAAACGGGAGTATTTAACGAAGAATTAAAAACGAATGCGCTTCCGCCATTTATATACCTTCTTTTCTTCATCTTTTTCATAAAACATTGGGCCTAGTTTTGACMAAAAATCAGATGTCATATCAACCACCATATCACAACGGGCAACCTCAAAGCTGTCAGATGGTGTAAGACCTGTAGTAAATAAAAACATTATAATTGTCACCATACAGTTTCTGAAGACAGTGACAGTTTTAACACTAATAAATCAGCTTCAGAGCAATTTGCAATAGCCTGTGCACAYCCTGCTATGGATGAAACTTAATTTGCAAGTGAGAACAAAAACATCACAGATTTTAGAAGTAGCTTAAAATCATTATTTTAAGTGCTTTTCAAATCAATAAGAAAGYAAAGAAATACAAATAAATAGAATTATCATGTAATCATTGCTGCAGTTATTTGTACAACAGACAGAATATTTTTATATTGTTTTTTATTTAAGGTACGGTAATACGAGCAGCAAAAAAATCGTACAGTGGCAACATTGCTGCGAGACAAGTTGGATTGTTTGTATAGTAATATATGATCAATATTTTCCTTCGAGTTTTGTTAAAAAAGGAGAACCATCCTCTACACTCTGCAACAAACGTTTTCAACTTACAACAAAAAAAWTTGCTGCGAAGAAAGGGGGTTCGCCGCTGGTAAAACATGCAACATCGCTTTCCAACTTTTTACAGCAATGTTACGTGGTACAAGTTGTACAATTTTGCTGCTCGCATTACCGTACCCTTAGAAATTTTATTTTCAGCTTATTTAGAAGTACAAAGCACAAAAGAATCTTCTGTATGTCTGTCTATAATGACATCTTACCAGATTGCCTAGCAGCATATCGCATGATGGCCATGGATTCAGTCAGCTTTTTGCCATCAACCATAAGCATAGGGAGCTGGCCTGATGGACTGAAGCCCTCTATAGAATATACAAATTGGAGTGAATACACCGCTTTTTCTTCCTCCTCTCTAATTAGCTCAGTTAACATGACACTATACTAGAAACGAAACACTAACCCTTTTTCTTCTCCTGCCATTGCTCTTGAGTGAATCTTACGTCTTCAAAGGCAACTCCACCTGCAGCAAAGCAAAGTCTCGCTGGCTCTSCACGGCCACGTACATTAAAGTAATACAGCTTATACTCAGGCATGGTTTGCAGCACTGCAGAGTTGATTCCTAGCGAAATGACTCAGCAGCTTTTGGTAAGTTGCAGGCGGCGCGGCCTGGGTAAGTTGGGGGCGGAAGTCCACTGTCACGCGATGTCAAGGCAAGAGTCAACATTTCAACTTGAAAAACAAACTACARTATATTCTCCGCGGATTTTTTGTCCAGTGCCATCACATTTTGAGGTTCTGTAATTTTTAAAATTAGCCTTGCATTCATGCTCAACAATCTCATTGACTATGATAGAGTGGTAGGCGAGGCACATTGACAGCAGAGTTCAGTGACTCGTGCCACTAAAATCCGTTTATATTGCTATTGTCAAAATTTCTTATCTCCCATAATAGGATATTGGTGTAGGTCATAAAGGTTGGTTTTTAAAAATACTATCTGATAGCCTTTACGCAAGCTATAGTCACGTTAGCAATGCAGCCGTGAGTGATGTTTACTGTGCCTACGCTTTTTTAAAAAGACTTTGTCAAAAACCATTGTATATCCAGAGAGTTTACTTAATACAGATTCCCGTTATGTTAATTTTAATTATTTAACTGGAAATTATTAAAGATGCACCATTAAAAAAGTTTTTTTGGGGAAATATCAGCACAAAAATGATCGGTCAGCTAAAAAGAATTTATAAGATCAACTGTAAGTTGCTAGAATGTATCAAGTAGCCCTATTATACATGGGGGTTGGGGAACAATTCTTGGGTTTAGTTTGGCAAGCTCGCGTCCCCAAACAAGCTTTTTTACTTTTCTTTTCTTTCTTTTTACAGTTAAAGAATCACAACCAACCGCTGTACGTTGGCAAAGCGAATCACCATTTTAGGTGGACACAAAAATGCCGGATTTGTAGGATTTCCTCAAAGTGAGCGCGAATCGTCTTCCATCCTTTCACTGACAGATATACCTTTAACCACGGGCTTTAGGAGACTCCTTGTTTCGAGTCGTGAGAAATTCTTGTTCATGGACAAAATAACACGCTATTTACTTACTTGAGTCTTTAATTGCTAGTCAAATAAGCTTGTGATGAATAAACATGAATTTATGG